TCGATAGTTATAATTAGGCATGACACACAATAATGGTATATAGTTTCATTGTTTGTAATTATAATTGAAACTTATAGGTAAGACTTGTTTAATAATAATTATAAAATAAGAGTTTTTTATCGACATAGATTTCAACCATGTTAAATTCTTAATTCTTAGTCTAATTAGATATAAGACAATTAAACACTTATAAACTTTGATACAGCTCTTATGAGGTATATATATCCATAACTAAGTATATTAAAACATATTTATGTCACGACCCCGGTTCGCCCTCCGTGAACCATCGTGACGGCACATAGTCCCTACGACTAGGTAAGCCTAAAATGCGGAAAAATAAATCAATTTGCGGAAGAAAACAAGTAAAAACCAAAATAGTGAATAAAACAGTGTTTAATAGTGCCGCTCGGCATACACCATATCAACTTTCGAATACTAATACTTTTCCCAAAACACGGAATCTCATGAAATCACAAGCTAAGAATACTACATAGTGCTCTATCTCCAGAGTGTCTAAATCAAAGTAAATACAGAAGGGGTGTTACTACAAGAGAGAATAGAGAGAGACTCTTCGGTCTGCGGACGCGGCAGATATACCTCGAAGTCTCCAAAAGATCGCCTCGCCTCAAGGATGGTAAGTCTGAGTAGAGGTACTTGGATCTGCACATGAAAAACATGTGCAGGAAGGGCATGAGTACACCACAGCGGTACTCAGTAAGTGTCAAGCCTAAACTCGGTCGGGTAGTGACGAGGAAGGTCAGGGCCCTACTGAGATTAAATATAATATAAAGTTCAACAGTGTAGAACAGACCAGTGTATAATGAGTACAATAATAAGAATGACACGGGATATAAAGGGTAACGGCAACCGAAACAAAAAACAAGTAATTACGGTAAACAAATACAGTTCAACGCAGAGGTAACAGCCGGGGATCTCCCAGGATACCGTCCTGTTGTCCCAAATATAATATCTAGTGGATCTCCCGGATCTTTGTTCAACGCAGAGGTAACAGCATGCGGATCTTTGTTATTTTGAAATTTAATTAATTGTTTTAATTATATATATATCTTATTTGTCTATGAAATTAATTTTTCATAACCGAATATTTCTAGGCCAAGTCTTGTCATGTCTTTCATGCTCGAAGCAAAAATATTCACCTTTAAAATTTTTTGACCTAATTTATTATGATGAAAATATTATTATTATAATGGTAACCTCAAATGTACGATAATATAATTATAGTCAACTATAAAAGTTTATTGATATTCTGAATCTGTTACTATTCATTTTTTTCTTGATAAAAAATTGTAACTATTAAGCCAACAATTTGGCAGTTCTTTCGAACTTGAAGGAAAACTATCCATTACGGATTGTGTTTTAACTAATTTAACAGTCGTAAAATATTACTATTGCTACAATAAGTTTCAATTCGTGGTAAAACTTATAAATAGCTACGAAATTTTATCATAGTGATAAATCTGTGGTTTATATCATTTATGACAAATAATTGTTAAGACAAATATAGCTATAGTTATTTAGAACTTAAAACAAAATTATTTATTCAGATACAACATTTTATTTTAAATAATTTATTGTGACTAAAAACTAGTTTTTCTACAACAAGTTTTAGCATGTAGCAAAATCTAATGATTAGCTACGAAATTTTATCGTATCAAAAGATCTGTGGCTATATCATATCTTCATGACAAATAATTGTAGCTTTTGAATCAACTATTGCCACGATATTTTATAATTGGTAGCAAAAATATTTATTTTAGCTACAATAGTTTGTTTCAAAAAATTATTGTGGCTAAAAGATTATTGTTGCTACAATAACTTTTAATACGTGGCAAAAACTTATGATTAGCTACAAAATTATACCGTAGCAATAAATTTATAGCTATTTAAGTAATTGTTGCCACGATAATTAGCAACCATAGCAAAAATGAGGAATTAGCTTTGTCAATTTATTTTTTGTGGCTAAGAATTTTACGAATTTGTAAAAAGCCACACAACTCTAATTTTTGTGGCTATTGTTAGGTGCTAGCCATGAAATTTAGATTTGTAGCTGAGATTTTGTAGCTATAAATGCATTATATTGTAGTGACCGGCGTAAATGGGAACTCTTTCCCCCTCGTAAATTCCAAGCAATATTGTCCAACTGATCTTTTCTTTTATAAATTATTTTGAGATACTTTTGCATTATTTCGTGAAGAAGTATCTAACTTTCAGGTGCCTGGGAGTCTTAAGACACGATTAAAAAATTTATACGACAAAGTACTTTACGAACTCATTAAATTCATTCAAACACATGACATTGGAATTTTTGTTTTTTTGTTTTCCATTTTTACATTAGACAAGATAGGAATCAGGGTGGAAGAAAAGGAAACTTTTGGTTCACTTTAAGTTGCATCCCACAAAAGACAATTTCATTTCTTGAAAATGATATATATAGGTGTTTATAATATAGTAATATCTAGTTTCCGACGTAGTAGTGTTTTGCAAAACTAAATAACTAATACATGCATTATTTGGATCTATATAATATTTTATACGAGATTTGATGAGAAATAAGAATCTGTATACCTAAAACATTTGTTTGGCAAGAATCTAAAACTTGTGCAAGTCATATAAATATGTGGATCGATGACTTGTTATACCTTTTTTGGTCTCCCACCATACATTTCTTTGTGTGTTTTATCAATATCCTGTTTTGTCTAAATTTACTCATATCATACTTCTTTTCCAGATTAGTCACGTCAGATTTTATCTACATGAGTTCACTTTGATGATAAGATAACAAGCAATAATACATGAGGTGAGAAAAAGCATAATCACTTTCATAACAGATAGTGTCTCGCATTCAAGTTGCAAACTTGATGAAATTGATAGAATTCGGTCCAAGCAAATAAATATAGCCAGAAGTTCTCTTTTATCAATTCCCAACCATCACTAGAGTGCGTCATCCCTAAACAGTAGCTCAGAGTTTATATCTTAAGGCATGCTGAAACAAAAGATTTTTCTATTAATATAATTTAATATGTAGTACTCCCTCTCTATTTCAATTCATGTGTCTTAGTTTGTCAGAATATAAAATTCAAGAAAGTAAAAGAATGTTGGTTTTAAGCTTAGTTTAGCTTAAAAGAGGGTGAATAGAAAATGGAGGAAAAAATAAAATTTTGATTTTTTCACCTTGACAAAGAGACATTGTCCCATATTGGAGGAGAAAAAGATTTTTGATGGGTATATAGACAATTGCTCTTCTTCTAGCTCTCAAAGAGTTAATAAGAAGGCAAGCCTCGCGCTGTCGCTCGGCTCGGCTTCGGCTTCGGATTTGGATTTGGTCAATTGATTGATTGATTTTTGGACCAAATTTATTTGTTAATATTAAGATTAACGTAATATTATTTTAATCCAAATTAGCCATTTTTGTAACGGTAAATTAGTTTTCCTCCGCGTTTTGATTTCCCATTTTGTTTTGCGTAAATAACCATTTACGTTATGGCCGTTCTTATGCAAACAGTTTCATAACAGTCACTCTGAAGAGTTGCACCTCTTCATTTAAACCCAACCTGCTGGCTATAAATAGCAGACCATTCCCTCAGATTTTTCTTACGAAAATTCTGAAATATCCTTCTTTCTTCTGCATTCTTTTAACTACAAAGAAAGCAATAGTAAGTGTGATTTGCTACCAACTATTGTGTTCGCTGAAACACTGAGGTTTGAAGTACCGCTACACTAGTGTGTGGTCCGGTCTATCCTGGGAGGAAATAATCCACAACCTCGGGTACTAGGAGGAGATTAAGTTCCTTAAGAAAACACTGTGAATTCAGTGGGCTCGGATTAAATTCTGTTTCTTCTACATTTCTGTTTATACGTTATTTTTCCTTCTCTAAAATTATTTTATAAATACAGTATACTAACAAGCTTAAGGAACTTAATTTTATATTTATGTATTTGTGTTATATATTGTATTTGTGTTCTATATACTGTTCTGGAGACTAAAACCTATGTGGTTTTCTACTCCCATTTTGGAGATTAAAGTTTAGTTGATTTTCTACTCCAGTT